GCGGCTGCTGCTGCTGCTGCTGCTGCTGCTGCTGGCCAGCAGCACAAATGTCCCTTTGCCAGGCCTCTATGAGGGGCTCGGGCTCGAGTCTAAACCACTCTTGGAAAGAAAAGGGTTTCAAAACCCTTTCTTCGAGTGCATGCAAAACCCTCCGCAAGTCCTCTTCAGAAGCTATGGTGTCTGTACACCCCAAAACCCTCAAACCCCCGCTGTACAGACACTCCGAAAACTCCTGCAGCGCCACGTCCAACTCGTACGCAGCCCGCAGGTGCGGCGAGTTTTCCAAGTTGTACCTGCAACAAACCCTAAACCCTAAACCCTAAACCCTAAACCCTAAACCGTAGGCCCTAGACCCCGGGCCCTAGGCCGCGGGCCCTGCGGGCCGAGGGACGCGGGGGCACTCTGAACCCGCACTCTGCATAGGCCATTGTCCCTAAACCCTAAACCCTAAACCCTAAACCCTAAACCCGAAACCCTATGGGGACGCCCTGAACCCTGGAACCCAAACCCTGAACCCCAAATTCTGAAACCAAACACTCAAGCCCCACCCTAAACCCTAAACCCTACGCCCTAGACCTCCCAAACCCCAAACCCCAAACCCTAAACCCTAAACCCTATACCCTAAACCCTAAACCCTCGAAGCTGACCCCGCCTCGGGGTGCTCCCTTAACCACTCGCTGTTGCTGGCAGTGTGGTTTAAAACGAGGTCTGTGGCGGAAAGAATTCCAAGTTCTTTTTCCAACATGTTAACTGCTGCTGCTAGGGTTTGCAAACCCTCGCGAGGGTTTAGGGTTTTCGAGGAACCCTCCCCCTCCAAACCCTCCTCGGGCTCGTCTCGGAAAAAAAAAGAGTCTATTTTCAGCTGGTTCGCCAGACTGCACGCAAATCCAAACCCTAAACCCTAAACCCTAAACCCTCACTCGCAGTGGGGGTCGAAAGAGCACGCACTGCACACCTCGGAGCAAACCCTAAACCCTAAACCCTAAACCCTAAACCCTAAACCCTAGGCCCCCAACTCCAAAACAAGCACGCCTAGCTCCACTACTGCAAGACGCTGGGAGTGCTAGAGCATCGAGTTAGGGTTTAGGGTTTAGGGTTTAGGCACCTGTAGCAGCTGCCTGACTCGCCCACAGTCTGCAGCGGGGTGAAGTGGACCATATTATACCCCATGTCTTTGACGTGTTGAAACCTGGAAGCAAGCAGCAGCCCCACATTTGCTGCTGCTGCTGCTGCTGCTGCTGCTGCTGTTGCTGCTGTTGCTGCTGGTGGTGGTGGTGATGCTGCTCACTGAAATAAGGGTTTGCTGCTGCTGCTGCTGCTGCTGGCGTTTTCACGGCCGGCTGCGAGTTCAGGGTTCAGGGGTTAGGGTTTAGGGTTTAGGGTTTAGGGTTTAGGGTTTACATGCGCCACCAGCGTTTGACGCCTCCGAGACACCTGGAAAGAGCTGTCTGTACACTCAAACCCTCAGCAGGAATTGGCTTTCCATTTATGGTCAGCACAGGGTCCACAATAATGACATTAACAGGCCCTAAATCTTGCTGCTGCTGCTGCTGCTGCTGCTGCTGCTGCTGTTTGTCCCCGCAGGGCGAGCTGGCAGCAGTGGAAAGCTCTCCTGATGAGGGGGCCCCATGGTAAGACAAGCGTATGTTGTAGGGACCTGCGTGCAGCAAACCCTAAACCCTAAACCCTAAACCCTAAACCCTAAACCCTAAACCCCAAACCCTAGCCCGTATTCCGAAGGCGGCTGAGAGTCCGTGTACCACGCAGGCCCCGCTCCCGCCCCCCGGCCCCAGGGTCTCGCCTTTAGGCCGTAGGGTTTAGGGTTTAGGGTTTAGGGTTTACCGGGGCGGTCTGCGTGGAGAAAGAAAGTCCGATTGCCCAGAGAGTCTGAAGAGCTTTCGAGCTGCTGAGGGTTTCCGAGGGGGTCGGTGGATATACACCCGAGCGAGGGTTTGTCCTGAGTGCCTTCGAAGAGCTTGAGGAGCACCAGGGAGCCTTCAGCGCAAACGCTAAACCCTAAACCCTAAATCCTAAACCCTAAACCCTAGACGCTAAACCCTAGACCCTAAACCCTGAATTGGGGTTCGGCGCACAGGAGGGCCCGGAAGACAGAGCCCGCAGGTCCGCGCACACGCGCTGCACGGACCCGTGGCGGCAGTGGCTAGGGTTTAGGGTTTAGGGTTTAGGGTGTCGGGCAGTGTGGAGCGCGGGCGCGGCGGAGCCGCGGGCGTCGCGGGCGGCTCCGGCGGAGGGCTAGGGTTTAGGGTTTAGGGTTTAGGGTTTAGGGTTTGAGAAGCACCCTTCGGGACGCGGAAATTGCCAAACCCTCCGAAGTGTTTAAAAGTTCCGTCTTCGAGAAACTCTGTAAAGAAAACGCCGGGGGTTTCGGGTGTACAGGGAGTGCTGCAGCCGGAGGCGGGCGGCTCGGGCTTGCTGGGCGCCATTCTGAGCTCGCGAGGGCAAATTAATTCAAATTTTTAGAAATTAAACTCCAAAAAACAAAACAAAGTCCAAACAATTCTTATTTTCGGGTCCACGTACACCCCAGCGCCTCAAGACCCAGTCGCCGC